AAACAACAGGAATCAAGTCGACCCAGAGAGCAGGGTGCGATTCAGAGGGACGCACCCCATGCCAAGACGGAACAGCCCACTTTACAAGCCGAATGGAGCAACGCTGAGCTGTGGTGCCTGCATGCTCAAAGACGATTCATGCAAGCCTTGGTGTGTGAGAACCCACCAGGACTTCGTGCAATGTGTGCAGACCAGCTACGGCGCCTCCCGCTCTCGAGGCGACTGCAAGAGACGGTGTTTGCTCTCTGCTTAAGAGGGTCGTTGCCGCCATCCACTCTGACCACATAAGTGCTGTAGAGGGGATCTCCTTCGGCGGCAGCTGCTCGTGGCTTGGGCGGCCGAGGACGCCTCCGTCTCCATTCAGGCATGCTTGAATTTTGATCCATGACCGGTCGTTCTTTACAGATGGTCGCTATGGAATTCAGAGGCAGCCACTCCCCTGGAGGTGCCTGAGGCTCCCGAACAGGAGCTCTGGGCATTCCGAGCCTGGGTCGGCAAGTTGGAGTCCTGGGTGCCTGTGTGGGGCTGGGACCTGGACGCGAGGAGGCCACTGCCTCGGCTTGCGCAAAGGCTGTTATGCAACCAAGCTTTTCCAGGCTTTCAAGGCAGCAGGAAGCTCCAGGTCACCCAACAAATCAGCAGATACAGGTGTTTTTGGTCTACGTTCGGGGCAGCCCGCTTCACGCGTCCTGCGCAGCTGACACCTCAGGCTCAGGGCCACGACTGAAAACTTCAGCTTCGACCGTTCTTCCATCGACCCTTTGCCTCGCCTCGGCGCCGATGTGCCAGATGCCCGGCAGGACTGCTGCTGGCTCACTCCACATCCTCCCAAACAGAGACTTTCTGGGATCTTGCGAGGAGAGGCTGAAGGAGGCAGAGTCGGAGCCGTACGACATTGCATACCTCCTCCCCTTCTTTGCTGGCCAGCTGCGTGCGGCCTTCATGCAGAGCTCGGACCTCGGAGAGCTCTCCGAGTTTCCTCCCACCTGACCTGACTTGATCGCAAGGCGGAGCCAACTCCAAGGCAACCTGGGGCCCCGCGCTGGGCGCGCTGATGTGCGGAGGAGCGCTGGAGCTGTGTCTGGGCTCCAATGGCTTGAGGACTCACAAGGCCTCTTTTCGTTTCGGGGGGGTCGTAGACTTTGATGTTTTTCCGGGCGACGCTGGGGTGGACAGATGTTACCGGGCCGAAGCTTGCGCACTGCCCAAACTGTGTCCCGGAGCTCTCAGCTCTTTGCGGCAACGGCTTTGGGGTAAGCGAATCTTCTGCCCACCCTTCAGACTTAAGCAGCATCCTTAGAATCCAGTCGAGGGTTCACTGGCGCTTGGGGCGCAAGCCCCGCAAAGCAGCACGAAACAACACATAAAGCAGCTCAAACAGCAAGAAGTCCTCCTCCTCCTCCTCCTCCATACAGCCGGAGCTTCGGTACCCAGGCTTTTGCTGGGCCTCGCATGTCCGGGGGCTCGGTGCGAGGGGCTTCAAGCAGTTCCGGGCTGTCGGGAGTGCTGTGCTTCCTTTCATTTGCCGAAGGCTGCGACACCCTCCTCCGTGCCTGCGCTTTTGAGGCCGGCTTTGTGCACCGCGGTTCCTCGTTTAGATGTAACTTCAGGTAGAGGCACCGCCCAAAGACAGAGCTTCATCAAAGGCTGGACAGACTCTTTGTGTTTTCACATCCGGAATCCCACGTAGCACCCAAGCGCCTTGAAAAGCCAACAGACCATATCTGTTGTTGGCTTTATCACATGAGTATCTTGCAGTTTGGTGTGCGGTGCTGATGCTCAGCAATACTCGGAACCCACTCGGCGGCGGCCAAGCTGTGTCAAGGCCTTGTCCGTTGTCACGGCCATGGCCCAAACCTGGAACATCAGCCTGGAAGAGGTGGAGAAGGCTCCGCTGAAGGATCCAACCCCCATTCTCTGGCTTCGGAACGTTTTCGAGATGCAGACAAGGTGTCGCCCACACACCTCCCGTGTTCCCGTCAGCCGCAAGACTTGCGCTTGAAACACACAGCCATGTCGAGCTGAAGCCTAAATCCAACGATGGAAGAGCTCCAAGCGTCCTGTTTTCGGTGTTCACGGGTCTGAAGGCATCCCGCGAGCGGCTGCCATTCCGCGAGCTTCCAGAGCTTGCCTGCAGCCTAGGTCGCACCAGACGCAAACCATAGATCGCAATCTGCACCTCCGCGATACATCGGGATAGCCATTCTGACATTTTGTGCAGAAGCTTGCACAAACTGCACTGGCCAGCTGCAGGCTGAGTGTGTCCGCCCAGGCTCGCCTTCTCTACTACGTGCGGGATGCTGTCGGTCCTCCTGAGAAGGCCCATGCATTGACCATCACGCTCTCTCGAATCTTGTTTCTTCATCGCCCTTTTGGCGTAGTTCCTTGGCTTTTGGAGGCTAAACTTTATCAAGGCCATGTTGTTTTCTTGTCGGGGTATCAGATGCCCAACTAATCTCAATCTCAAGTGGTAGGATTCATTCATCAAAGCAAGCCGGGGCCGAGAACTTCGTCGTATCCTGGGACTGTTTGTGTGCGGGCGCCATATGTGATCGGCCACGGACACCCCTCTGAACGTAAAGATGTTGCAATGTGTTGCATTGCCTTCGAAAGGTTCGGGCTTCAGGATTTCAGATGTTGGAACTCGGTTGGCCGTTGCGTTTTGCCATCCTGGAGCCCATCCCTTGTGAATGTTGAAGCTCGGGAACTATCTTTGCACATCCGGGATAGCAGCCAAACGTGAAAACAGCTGTAGACACTGTCGATTGTGGCCGTAGCCGGTAGCCCTTGCTTGCGAGGATGGCATCCCAGGCCCCGTTCCACGTCTGAATGCTTCCTTCTTGGCAGCCTGCACGTCAGGGGCCCGGAAGATAATTGAGTGCGGAAGTCAGCTTCATGACTGCGTGCTCTTCCGGAAGCGCTCCGAGAAAGTCTCAAATGTGGGCTCGGCTCAAGCACATGGATGCACGTGGAATTGGCGATAGGCAAGCGTGTGGCTATCAAGCGAGCAGGAGGTGCTATAAGACTTACATTGGAGATGTGCGAATTTACCGCCACCTAGCCTGATCAAGTTGCGGTCGCACTTTTTGGACTCTGCTTTCACCCTGCCCAGGCCTATTCTCACTCAGCCTCAACATGCGCTGTACCGCACTGTGGCAAAGCCCTGGACCCAGAAATTCTGGGCTCTTTGTTGGATTTTGTTTGCGTGGGTTGGACGGCCTCAAACTCATGCCGATGCATAGGCCGTGGGCGTGAACTACCACTACCTACCACTACAAGTACTGTACAAACTGCACGTCAACATTGCAGCAGGCGTTCCGAAGATTTGGTTGACCTGAAGTAGCCTGCAACATGACACTTGACACTAAGCACGTCATGCGGATATTTTTTTCGCGGAGCGGCCGAGCATCTCAAGCATGCTGGTTTCAAGAACCTCAGATGTTGCCTATGCTTCGACAGACTATCCTTGCTGAGATGGACATTGAACCTTCCTTAAGGCCTACCGGTCCTTGGTTAATGCTAAGCACTGGCCGACGCAATGCAGTTATCATTTCGCTTCGCGGATGGTCGCTCAGTCGGACCTCTAGAATTTGAGCACCACGTGCGTATTGATGATGTGGCTTTTGGCTTGAAAGCATTAGTGAAGCCCTCGGAATCCGTGTATGCTCGTCTTCTTTGGGAGAGTTCGTGGCTGCCACCGGGCCAGAAGCTCTCAGAAACTTCGCTTAACGATGGGGACGTGGTGGAGACACTCTGGGCTTCGGCATCGCCCCTGCCAGAGCAAGGAAATGACAAAGCAGAGGTCCTGCCAAGGCGCCCCCCGAGCCTTCCGAAGTGCAGCGACGATTCCACGGGCCGTTGCGACTTGCTTGATTGCTCTGGAATGTACAAGATTGACCGGGACTTCGATGGGTTGGCGCAATGCATCACTCCATCACTACAGGTGTTGGATATTCGCCAGTGCGCCTTAAAAGCAGACCTCATTCAGAGGATTTTTGCAAAAGTGCCAGCAACTCTGAAGGAGCTACGTGCAAGCCGGAACATCATTAATAGATCTGCACTGAATTCCCTTTGCGACCGGGGACTTAGCCTCAAGGTGCTAGACATTGGCTACTCTCACTGTGAGGACTGCTCTTCATTGCCCCGTGTCGGTGGCATAGCCGAAGGCTCTTTGGAAGAGCTTGTGATTGGAGATCTCGAGGGCATCATGACAAATCCAAAGTTACTGGCCGATGTGCTGATGCTCTGTCCGCAGCTCAAGCTAGTTGACTTCGCTTGGAATAACCAAGCTTCTTTTTTGTCCAACACACTTCAGAGCTTGGCCCAGCACTGCCCTCTCGTTGAAGTGGTGTACGGCTACCGCACAGAGCCGGAACCCCCCCAGTTGCTCGAGCTTCTGACTCGTTGCCAGAACGTGACACACTTGGAATTTTCCGGTGTCTCATCCCCCGAGGTTATCTCGAACATGGCACAGCTCCCGTCTTTGAGGTCTGTCCGTCTGGAGTTGATATCCTCGGAGGCAGAATTGATGAAAGCGATGTGTTGCCTTAAAGTAGAGACGCTGTATCTCGAGTTCGGCTGGGTCGATGACGACGACCACGACGAGGATGACATAGAGTTCGCATTGGATCTCTGTGAGAACACAACAGAGCTCTCAGAGAACTTTTCGAGCTCATCAGCAACAAATGTTTCCCTTGTCGTCGCTGGAGTTGAACCGAGCATTCTTGAAGCAGTAGGGTCCCGCTTGCATCAGCTGGGGCCTCTCAGGGCCCACAGCGCAGATCATCCTATCTTGGATGCGCTCGTGCAGGTTCCCAGCTGCTGTGTCAACCTTGTGCGGCTGGACATCAACTACTACGAGCAGATTGATGCAGGCACATTGGCAACAGTGGCCGAGAGATGCCCTTCCCTGAAGATTGTTATGTTGAATGCCGACGAAGACGGCTTTCAGAAAACTCCGATCGATGAGGGCGTCCTCGCGCTTGGCCGCCATTGTAGCAAGCTGGAACACCTGGACGTCCTGATGCAATAGACGCGTAATGTACAGGCTACTAGTGGGCCGTAGGCCGCATGAGAACCGTCCCCACTCTTTGTGCAGCCGAGGATCTCTACGATCGTCTCTTGCAAGATCCCGCTACGACACTGGCCACTGCAGTGGTTGGATGGCCGCACCTGCGCTACCTTTGCGCTGCTAACACGACGGAGATGTCCTGGGTCGTGGCTTTGATGCAACCTGAAACACCATGTTCCGTTGCCAGTCGTTGTAACTCTGCCGTCGCTGCCTTTCCAAGCCTTCGCCCGAGCCCCAGGAAGCAGATCCGGATGGCCGAATCGTGCGCGCGCTGGCTTGCCATTGCCCGGCTCTGCAGAACGCGGTGTTTTATGGCGAAGTGCCACCAGACTGGTCTGCCATTCTTCAGGGGTCTTGTCCTCTCTATGGAGAGCTCGACTTGGAATCAGACGATGAGTAGAGTCGAGTGGCGAGGATGCTTTAAAATGCGGGATGCGGATGCAATCTCACGAGGTTGCGACCATGCCAATCATTACTGCTGGTGAGTCAATCACTTCATGGTCTTAAGTCCCAATGTTTTGTCGTCATGTCAGCATCGGAAGTGCTGCTATTATGATCTATCATGCTGTAATCCGCACCCCACATGGCTTGATGCGCTTGATTACAGGATTGCTGCCTTGATCTAGGTTCTTGCTCGGTCGACCAGCCGCAGACTTTGAGGACAGGCTCGAGTTTCTAAGCGTCCCGGGCATGAACATGATAGATGCTCAACAGGAGTTGTTCGTAGGATATTTATCAGCTCAAGGCAGATTAAAGAATGCCGCAGTGCCGGCTGACAGGATGCCATATTCAATGCTTGACTCCTTGACAGTGTCATGAGATACAGGCTTGATTCGGAGCCAAGTCAGTGATCCAACAACTGCAATAGGCACAGCTGAACTTTCAATACTCTTTTGGATTCTTGATGCAGGTTGGAGCATGCTGCAACCTTTCGGACCCTTCGCTGTGGATCCTGGTAGAGTTTGGTTCAGTACCCACATCCTGCTTGCAAACTGTGCAACTGACACGGGTCTTTTCCGTTTGCAAGGACATTCCCTTGTTCTCCAAGCTCATGCGTGCTCCTGAGCCTTGAGCAGGGAGAGCAGAATGAACATTCAACCACCTGACAAATTTGTGGGCTGAATCTGAAATTCACAACATGTCTGTAGTCGGCGGCTGTAATCCTTCTCGAAAAGGAGATGACAGCATGATTCCTGACTTCCTGTGGTTAGGCTTAGATTCAGTCCGATTCAGACCGCTTGGTTGACAGTCTTCTGCGGCTGTGCTGTGAGGTTGTCTGGAGATGTGGAGAGCAGTCAGGAGGTTCTCCCAGATGTGAAGGGTTTCCATAGAAGACTTTCGAAAGACTTGCTAAGAACTCTGGTGCCGTTTTTGTTTGCCTGAGAAGTGCAGAGGTTTACCTGAGAATTCTTGGATGCGTTGCATGTACACAAACTCAAACGGGCAGAAGTGCAACAGGACTTTGTTTGCCGCATACTTGCAGGCACGTCTGTGGTACCTCCGGGTCCTTCGACGAGGTCTGGCTGTGAAGTCAGGCCGGCACAGCATCCGATAGGCCAATGGCCGATTCTCGTTCTCGTTGAGACAGGCCGTTGAGGTTCCAAGAACGGCATCCGATACTGTATCGACAAGATAGCACTTCAGAAGCCATCCTTGAGCCCTTACATTTCTTTGCATCATCATCGCTTTGTCACGAGGAACATTCACGGCAGCTGACAAGATGTCGAGGCAGGTTTCTGACAGCCTCTCCCAAAAGAGAGTGAGAGAAAGCAGCTTGGTAGGCTGTTTCGCAGGCACGGAAAGCTTCAATCTCACGATTCAGCACTTCCAATTGATGAGTCCACAATCACTTGCTTAATCGAGCAGAGTGTGGGGCAGCAGACAAGTGTGTATGTATTTTATGTTTTTCCAATATCAGAAGGAAATCAGCACGCCACAGCATTCTTCCTGCTAGCTTGTTTACACCCTGTCCTGCCTCCTTGTGAAGATATCGCCTTCGACTTCTACAAAGCTAAGTTAGAGCAGATGCAGAGGTTCTGTCTGAAACCTTTGCTTAGAGAGTTTGTCAGCCACCTGCACCTGCAAGGGCACGAAACCAACAAGCCTTGACAGAGCTGAGAATGCAGCGCGCTACTTCTCGAGCATCGCATCACCTAAGCCATCCTGCTTATCGCGGCTTTCTCTTTAAACCCGAAGCACTCCTTGCAAGGCATACAATGGCAAGGCGAAATGTCCTGAGCACCCCTCAGGTTGCATGGCTTCTGCTGTTTGGCCTGAGAGACTTTGAGAATCTAGAGACTTTAGAGTATTGTTGCCTGGCGCTCTGCAGTACGACAATATCTCTGTAGCTTGGTTTTTCATCGCATGCTCATCGAGCACATGCAACGACAATCGAAGCGATCAGGATAGCATGTTTCTGCCATGCACTTCCCAGGCCATGGATCATGAGCTTCGCTGGATCCAAAGAGCTTGGAAGCCTCCCAGTCTTTCTGGAGGCTCCTGCACTTGCTACACGAACTTCTTCCCGAAAAGCAGCTTTTTGTCCCCGACTGCGAGTGTTTCCAGGCCGCCGGGTGTGTGGAGGCTGCTTTACAGGCACACCTGCTTGCATGCTCCAGCTCTGGATGAAAGGTCGACGGGATGTGGAGGGGCCGAAGGGCCGGCGGCTTCACTGTCAATATCGGAAGTGAAGCTCCAGAGTTTCAGTGCGGAGCTCTGGGCCAACTCGTGATATTTCATGTTTACGAAGCACTTCACCGCTCATCCCGCTCATCCATTCATCCCCATGTTGCACCTGCAGCCAGGCGCCGGTGGTCTCGGCCGAAGGGGCGGCGCTCAAACTTTCGGCTCCGGGCTTGGAGAAGATGGTGCTTGGAGGTGTAACTGCTATGAGCGTGTGCGAGTGTCATGTGTAACTCGCTCGCACCTGAGTGTCCCTCGTGCGTCGGGGGATGGCTTTTGACCTGCCCGAGCAACTTCCGACCAAACTTGTCAAGATCGCGGAGCAGAGCTGCAGAACCTGAACCAGAGAACAGATGGGAGGAAACCTTGGGCTTTTGGACCCGCAACGCCGTGAGGTCGCAGAATGGGCTGCTGGTCAGGAGCCGCTCAGTGAAGCTTCTTCGCTCACTGCATCACGTAAGTCTGCCAGCATTGCCACAAGATCTCGGCATGCAATCAACCCCAACCCCCTTCATGTGATACGGCACCGCACCCAGCATGTCAGAGACCTCGATGTTGAAGCATCTGGTTCAGACTTCAGGGTCAGTCGCAGGCTGCGCGCACGCCACAGGGCAACCGAAACCATGCCCAGCAGGCACGGACTGCGGCTGGTTGTTGTTGGCCGAGCTGCTCCGGGAGGTACGGGCCGGTAGGTGGTTGTGGCTCCAGCGACTGCCAGGTTCTGCGCGCAGTGGGTCGCATAGCTGCTGCCTGAGTCCACACTGGAGCTGCGCAGTGAGGATGATTCGACCCCTGCTAAACGCCTGCCCCTGCTGGTTGCAAGGCATGCTGGATTCGGAAGGGCCCCCACAGACCTCTCTGGGTCATCAGATCAGTGCAAGCTACGCCCAGGTCTCCGCACTCCTTCGCATTCCAGGCCTCGCATGCAACCTCTCCGCGAAGCTCTTCAAACTCCTGTTTGCGCTGCACTGCGTCCAAGCTTTTGAACAGACATTGACATGTGCGCACGTTCCCAGATGCATGCAAGATTTCCAGACAGTTTCGGAAGCCTTGTCGGCGAATGGGGTGCCCTTGCAGCTTGCCTTCCCAAGTGCCTGAAACGAATGGCCCCCCCCACATAGCACCACAACTTGAGGGCGTTGATGGTTGGTTGTCCGAGCGATCGTGCTGCCTGCAAGTTGGCACCTGGGAATTTTGGAAGCCCCGGCCTGGCGCCCTGCACTTGCTCTCCGGTGCTGGAGGATGCTGAAGTGCAAGTAGCTACGCAGCCACCCTGGATTTATTCGGTGCCGACGTAAGAACAAGAATTGTCTGGGGTCGCCGCAAGAAGAAGGACGAGCTATCTCTTGGTGTTGTTTTGCAGTCGCTTTCTGTTGACGATGTCCAGGCTGTGACTTTACTACAAGTTGTGTTTGCAGAGGCCGCAAGGAGACACCAAGGCGCGATATCAGGAAGCACTGGCTCGAGCACGACATCTGAGGGCGAGGACGAGGGCGACTTCAGACCACACAAACCTTATGCAGGCAGATATCCGAGGAGATCCGAGGAGTTGTCCAACTGTGGCTCCAAGAACACCCACCGCACATGCTGTTGCAGCGCCTCCAGGCGGCCTTCAACAACGTACGTCGCTGCTACGTAAGCTCGGACAGCGCCTTGAAGATCGGTCAGGCCCCGTGGCTCGAGCCTGTGTTGATGGCGACGGACCAAGGACAAACTGAAGAAAGCGAGCGACGGTGACCTCTACAATCCTCTACATCATCGAAACGGTCTGGATAGATCAGTGGTGGAGACGCAGAAAGGGAGAGGCAGAGACTTCCGGGACGGAAGAGCAAAACATGGACCAGCCGCTCTGCAAGCGTCCCAGTTTTACTGTCATTCGGCCATTGCCCCACCTTAACCCGCCCCAGAACCCTTTCCTGATCAACAATCAACACCTCCTTTCCAAACGCAGACCCCCAAGACTCACGACGAATTGGAACGGAACCACATCTACCACATTTTAGCTTTTACCAACTTTCCACAAGATGCTGAAACGGCGGAATCAACACAAGGTCGACTTTCGCGCCACCCATGGTCTAAAGTCTAAAGTGATACATAGGGTAACCATTCGCTTTTCGCACCGGCGGTTCCGGCAGTCGTATCTGGTGGCTGCTGACAGGCGATGATCCTGCGCAAAGCCGCGTGCTCACCTCCAGCCACACGCAGCTTCTGGCAATAGGCAGGTTGGGCAGACGAAGGGGGGGGACGGAAGAGTGATTCAGGCGGCTGACCTTCCGATGGCATTCACAACAGCTGAATGTGCAGTTTGTACCGCCAAGACAGGCCGGGTGGTCCAAAGCTGTGCTGCACCCTCAGAGCTCGGTGTGACCATCCAACCAGAGTTGCGTTGCCGCGATGATTGGTGCCGTAACTGACTGTCCTAACCGGCTGAGGCCACGGCCTGGGTTCGGTTGCAGGAGCTCGGGTCCTCAGTGCTCTCGGCGCCTGTGAAGCTCCCGATGCTGCTTGCTCCAAAAACGTGCTAGCGTTGTCAACAGATAAGAAGCATTGCATGTCGTCGCACAGCAATATCAACGACGAATCTCTGGGAGGGCTGCGACAGGCAGCTTCCAGCTCCTTAGGCCAAATTCCGTGGAGGGGGCGGCTGAAGAGGAGGTCCCCAGCATTGGCAAGGGGGTCGATGTTGGGTGCACAGGCTCGTTCATGAAAAACCAGGGTGCGCACACACGCTGCAATAGCCGACGGGCCCGACGGTCAAGCTATTCTGACGGCCATCGTCTCCAGCAGCACGGTCGTTATAAGTTGGGATGGCGAGTGAGAAACTTGTTTTGTAGGATGTCTTTCAGTGCGCCAGTGACCCTTTCGTGAGTGCGTCTGTGGGTATGCGTCCATACAGACATGCGTTTGCGCTGGTGTGCAATGTGGTTCGTGATGTGCGGGACAACTTCCGGCATGCGGTTCGTCCGCTGAGACAGACGCCGGGCCTCTCCCACAATCTTTACGAGATCTTTCAATGCATGTGTGGCATAACGGTGTGCAGTAGTTGAGCTTTGGTGCCAACACAAACCCTGCTCGTAAGAGGAGGAAGCAGCCACTTGCTTCGCCACTTCCACCCTAAGTGCGCAGGTGCCTGCCTCCGAAGCTCCCAGGCAAGCTCCAGTGGCCTTGCTGTGGGTCGGAGCCCCGGCTTGACCTGAATGGATGTCGGCCAAGGCTTGTCTGGCAGATGGTTCAAATCGACAACTTGCTGGGTCCCTCACTGCAGCTTGTTGCATGGCCGAGTGCCACTTCAGATGCGTGCATTGCGTGTGATGGTTTCGATGCGATTTGCATGCTACAAAGACTGCCGCGACATAACAGCATATGTTAAACGTTCAAAGCTTTTCACATTGGATGTTGTGAGTTTGGGAAGTGGTTCACAGGCACCTCAGCTTCATTTGCAGAGTCTCATGTAACTTGCAAGTGCGAGAAAGAGACCTTCTGCGAAACAGTGGTCAACGTATTACGACTCCGACCGGCAAACTTGCCTATCTCAGGAGCAGGCATGCTTGCTGGCTCGCCTGGCCGCGGAGAAGCGCAAGGCCCGACGCCTATACGATGCACTGGGCAGGGCCCTGCTGTCCGAAGTGCACCTTGCGGGGCTACACTCCCAGGCTGCCGGCAACTTATCCGGCGAGCCTAAGGTTGGAGCCCCAGGGCCGCTCTTGTTATCACCGGCTAGCTGGCCACACTCTGTCTATTTATCTGTCTTTCGACCTATCGGTGTGACGCAGTGCCATTGAAGGGCTCTCTGGCCATCATACTAACAACAACCGTTTTTGCTTCCGTACAAGTCTTATTTGCGCTCGTCCGTCGTGCGAAGCAATCTGACAGCGTAAGACTGAGCAAGAACCTTAACGATCAGGTAGGTAGCACGGCTCTGGAAAGGCAGACAAGAAGAGCAGTCGCCATCGTCACGAGCATCACTGACATAACCACCGCTTATGCCACCGCCAATGCATCGCCAGCGTAACCGCCGTCATCATCGTCATCATCATCTTCATCATCATCATCATCATCGTAATCGTCATCATCATCATCATCATCATCATCATCATCATCATTATCGTAATCGTCATCATCATCATCATCATCATTATTGTCCTCCTCCTCCTCATCATCATCATCATCATCGTCGTCCTAGTCATCATGCTCATTAGTCTGCATTTTTTGTTAATTAATTTAATGGGGTCGGCACAGTGGAGTGTCGTGGGTCTCTGCCCTTGCAGGGTTGAAGGTACTATGTCACATCGATGCTCTGCTAGACTTGTGGTCCTAGGATGATGCACTCTCCATGTTAATTTGTAAACTTGTGCTGTCTTGTTCGACTGTACACCGTCGGCTGAAGGTTATGGCCTTTTCGTTTGGCATGTGGTTCCTCTCGTGTAACGGCTGAGGTGCAGACAATCCTGACCCTAAAGCTCACATGAACACATTTGCTCCGCATACCGGAGGTAGCCTCTTACGAGGAGCGATGTGACTCCAAGCCCCAAGCACCAAAACAAGCACTAACCCAAAAAGGAGTGTCTTGGCAGAAAGCGCATGACGAGAATGGGGTGTGGGCTCATGTCTATCCCCGGCTCCAGGCCAAGAGACCACGTAACGCCGAGGACATGTCACTCGCAGCGCAGCCTGGGGCTCGTGTCGGTAACGTTGGGGTTTGAGACGGACGTGCTTTTGCTCGAAGAGATCAAAGCCTGGCTTGGCTTGGCTTGGAAAGTGCATGGGTGCGGTTTCACTCCGTGGGAACCACGCAATCCAATCGATGGCTACGATGTAAGGCTCCAGTTTTAAGGACCGGTGGCATGCAGTCGCTGTGGGTTAGCATGTGAAGACAGAGTCGCATGTTACAAAAGCTAAAACCCTCAACTGGCCGAAGCACTCCAAAGGCTGGACTCTGTCCTCTGGCTTGTGGCCCAGCTGGAAGAGGGCTTCCAGGTAGCTCGACGAATGCTGTTGGATGCCTCTCATGTTCTCTAGGTTGTCGGGCTCTTTTTAAGCCCGGACCCTTTGCACTGCCCGACACTGTGATCTGAGAAGGCGGTCACACTTCCGAGAGCCAGCGAGTGCTTGCTGGCGGTTCCAGAGCTCAGTTGTTTGAAGCAAGAGGGTGAATACATCACGCTTAGGGACTAGGAGTCGGAACTCCACCAGAAAACTTCATGCTTTCGAGGTTCGCAGCCAATTCAGTAAGGCACATGGGTTTTGCCTCTCTAGGAGGACAAAACAGCGAACTGGCGGGAGATGTGTTGGAGGAACGATGAAGCATTTACAAAAAGTGGTTGTGCATCCTTGCAAGCATTCATCTCGGTCTGCTCGTATTCTGGTACTCAGGGATGCCGGAAGTACGCATCATCTTCCCTGGGCTGGCTTGATTTTCAGCCCTTAGGTGATATGATATGGTATATCCAGCGGACGCAAACAGCAGGATAAACCAAACAGAAGAAGCAAGTCTTGATGACAGGTTGCGTTGACAACGCAAGCAGCTATTGACTATTGATCTTTGTGTTCCGTCTGGTTGCACATTATCAAGCCACCTGAACCCAAGCTATGTCACATGTGTTTGTCGTCATTCCAGTTTCTTGTTGCAAACCTGCAGAGGTAAACACACACACACACACATGTATGAATATACATGAATATACACACACATATATATATATGCATATACACATGTGTATACATAAATAAACGATTAAATGAATGTGTGTATACACACACACACACATATATATATATATATATATATACATAATTCAGAGAGAGACAGAGAGAGCTATGTGTGCGAATACTATGTATGTTCGCACGCAGCGCACGCAACACACACACACAATGAAGACGCATACATACAGACATTACATGCATTCCTACATACGTCGCAGTACACCGCATTACGTAATGCAACATCACATAGCCACACAAAACATAAAGTGTCACAACACAACACGAAATACACATACACATACACATAACATATCAGCATGTCATAACACAACATAGCATAGCTTGGCATAAAACATCATAGCATAACACAGCACAACAAAACATGATACAGCACAGCACAGCACAGCACAGCACAGCCCAGCGCAGCACAGCACAGCGCAGCACAGCACAGC